CAAAAAAACTATCACATTACTAAGTACATTTAAATACTTTAAAATTCAATTTTAATATTCAATCATAATAATTTCATCTTTCAGGTTTTATACATTTGTAAGGCTATAGTTTTACAATAATATAAAAGTGTTATACACTTAGCAAGTTATCTTTTTTCTTTTAAAATTATTACTGCTAGAATAAAAATGAGTAGTAATGACAATTTTTTAAAAATAGCATGTTTTTCTTACTATGTAAAGTGTCCTATAAAATAGTTTTTGGCTAGATAAAATTTCAAATCTTAAACATATGAAACAGTTTTTACTTTGCTGAAAGGTGACATTCTAATTTTGGTGCATCCTGTTAAAATTACTGATCTTACACAGAAATTAGAAAATAAAATAAGAGGAAAATATCCTCAAATCATTAAAATACATTGCTTTAACTATTAGTAATATTAGTAATATTAAATGTTGGTGTTTCTAAGGACAATATGTACATGCTATTTTATATCCTTCACCAATAATCATGGATGTGAAAATGCAGTAGTGATTTATAAAAAAATCTCATTGTTTTGTCAATTTACTATAATTACATTATATTGAGTTATTCTACAATGTTATTTTCTGTGCAAGTACTATCGGTCACTTAAAATAACAAGATAACCAAGTTTTTTTTTTTTTTTTTTTTTTTTTTCTATCAGAGGTGCTCACCAGCAAATAAAAAGAGGGAGAAAGCACGCCTCAATGAGGCATTGTTACGCTACAATCCCGTGTCCTCCATTTCTTTATCCTGTTTGGATATAGGATATGCACATATGCACACATGCCCAGAGTATTTTTCTAGCCACTGGATTTGAACTGGCTCCCTTAACGACTAGGCCACTGGTTTGGTCCTACCACCAAGTTTTAAACTTTGACATTTGAAATAATGTTTTTGACATAATATACTTTCCTGTACAATAAATTATAGTTTTTAATGGCTATAGAGTGTTCTATTAAAATGTTGACTCTCCATTAGGAAACATGCAGAATATTACCAAATTTGATTTTATAAACAGTGTCAGAGTAAATAACTCTATTCATAATTTTTTTTTGAGAGGTTTTTGCTATAGGGCACGTGCGCTCACCAGAGAGAGACAGAGAGATAGAAAGAGAGAAATCCCCCTCCCCAGGGGAAATGGCCACGCCACAATCCCTTCTCCTCCATTCTCCTCTCGGGATCTTGGGCATGCATGCACACGTGCCCTGCGTGAGTTTAAGCCACCGGGTCCGGGACTCGAACCGTGGTTGACTACGTGGGAGTCCAGTGACATAGCCATTACGCTAACTGCTGGTCCCGCAATTTATTTTTAATATAGCATTTTTACTAACATTGATTCAATTCCAAACTTTAAAAATTGAAAACTCAGTGGGAAAAGGTATCTTGTATTTGTATTTTAAAAAGTTTACTCATCTGGGTGCAGCAGGTGACATGCTAGTTAAGGCACTGGATCCCACATGGAGGACTTAGGGCTTGAATCCTAGACCCAGTGGCTTGAAAATACACTGGGCACATGTGGGCACAAGTGCATGTGCCCAGACTCCCGAGACAGAATGGAGGAGAAGGGATTGCAGTATGGCCATACCCCTGGGGAGGCGATTTTTCCATTTCCTTCTTTGTGTCTCTCTGCGGAACTCACAGGCTCTATGGTAAAAATCTAAAAACATTTTTAAAAAGTTTGTCTCTCTAAGAGAGAGACAGAGAGTGAGAACAAGAAAGAGATGTTCTTCATCTAAATTTTTAATGAATTGTGCAACTCAGTGGATCTTTGAGACGAAGAGTTGACTAAACTCAAAGCAGAATTCTCCTGGATTCAGCTCTTTGTTCTTAATGATGTAGTACATAAAAGAATGAGTGAGGCCTTGTCTCTTGTGTAAGAAGGTTCGGGGGGGACCAGCAGTTAGCGTAATGGCTATGTTGCTGGACTCCCACATAGTCGACTGCGGTTCACGTCCTGGACCCGGTGGCTTAAAACTCACGCCAGGCTCGTGTGTGCGTGCCCAAGATCCCGAGAGGATGATGGAGTAGAGAGGATTGCGGCATGGCCATCCCCCCTGTGGGGTGATTTTTCGCTTTCTGTCTCTCTGTCTCTCTCTCTGTCTGTCTGGCGAGCACACGCACCCTATGGCAAAAATCTCTCTCTCAAAAAAAAAAAAAAAAGAAGCTTTGAATTCTTTGTGTGAGAAAGTGAGGAATGATAGTACACACAACTGTCTTCCAAGGCAGAGGATAACAGGTCTATGAAGGAAATAAAAGTATTGAGTTGTTTCAAAGAAGAGCAAGATAGATAGAAACTTAATCAAAGGCTTTCTAGAGTATGTGGTAAATGGGATGGCCCTTGAAGGACTGTAGGAATTTCAATGAGTGGATGAAATACCCCTTACTGAGAGAATAGCACAAGCAAAGGTACAAATAAATAATGAAAATAATGAAAGAATTGTGGAGAACTTTAGGAACTGAGAGAAGAGGAAGATGGAAAGATTGGATGGGGCTATAGTGGAAAATTTCAGATGTCAGGATACAGACTTTGGATTTAAATTTGTAGCTAGTAGGCATCCTTGAAAATTTTTAAGTAGGAAATACTATACTCAGCATTGTACTATATGAGTTAAAAATTACTTTGACAGGTTATTTATATATGAACAAATGCAAGAGTTACAAACTTTTTTTTTTTTTAAAGAAGTGGTTATTAGCAGAATCTGTAAAGTGCTAAGAGATTTTGGTTTACTGTTGAGTCAATATAAATGACTAATGTCAAGTATTTGTCCAACAAAGGTAGTATATTTCAAGGGTAGAATATTTCTAAAATAACTCTGGTTATTTTAACCATATCACTGGACGGATGAGATCATTGCAGGAGGGTCATGTTATTTACTCCACAGTGATACATCATAGTTTAGGGAGAAGAAGACCCATCCCAGGAGTCAAGAGACTGATTTTTTGTTTTAGTTTTTGGTGAACTACTTTATTATCCATTCCTGATATTATAGGTTAATGGCCTATTGGGATACTGAAAAGATTAAAAATGGAAAGATGCCAAATCTTCATTATTTTACAATTTCACCTAAAATTACTGTTCTCTAATCATTATTAAATTATGATAGAAATGCCTCCTTAATGCTAAGGAGTATGCTAGGTACTGTGGAGACAGGTTAAACAGAACAAGATTCTAGCCCTTAAGGCTCACGGGAGTAATGGAAGGTTGACCCAGTCATAGCGGCATAGGCAGTAGTGTGCTGCACTGCAGTGTTGGAGTCACATGGCCAATTATGGTTGGCTTCCATGTCGACCTTAAAAATAACTGTTGTGTACTTCCTAGCTGGCTGAAGAGCTAAGGGAAGGGATTGAAGCATGATGAGACCCTGTTGTGGGTCTCTCTCTCTCCTCCAAAATTCTCTCTTATTTTCTTTCTCTCCTTCTCTCATGAAAGAAATAAAATTTGGAAAAAAAAATAAGGTGAGTAGGCAATTAACTGGAAAACTATGTGACTGAAGCCCCCATAGCACACGAATCAAATATAAACATGCTTAGAGGAGGTTATAAGTAATCTTAAAATCAGGGTTAGTTTCTCAAAGGAGGTGATATTTATAGATCTTGAAAGAAAACCAATAGTTTGACAAGCAGAAAGGAATGTAACCTAGGAAGAGGAAAGAGACTTAAAGCGTGTGATGTTGTAGGGAACTATAATCAATTCAACTTAATGGTGTGAGTACGATATGGAATAGCAATGGGATGTGGCTGAAAGTTTGACAGGAAATAGATTCAGAAGTGCCTTGCATATTACGCTAAATAGCTTGGCCTTGGCTGAAGGTTTTGAATTAGGGAAGTAATGGAATCTTCTTTGTACTGTTGATACTAGCTGAAGGCCGTGTGCCTTGGGGTATATCCCTCTTCCTTTTTTTTTTTTTTTTCTTTTTGGAGAGATTTTCCCTATAGGGCACGTGCGCTCGCCAGACAGAGAGAGACATAGAGACAGAAAGCGAGAAATCATCCCCCAGGGGGGATGGTCACACCGCAATCCCTTCTCCTCCATTTTCCTCTTGGGATCCTGGGCACGCACGCATACATGCCCAGCGTGAGTTTTAAGCCACTGGGTCCGGGACGCGAACCGCAGTTGACTATGTGGGAGTCCAGCAACATAGCCATTACGCTAACTGCTGATTCCCTATCCCTCTTCCTTACACCAGTAGTACATGGGGGATGAGGGGATGCATGGGCAAGGCTTTACTTGTATTTTAGAGTGAGGCTGGACTTGTATTTTAGAGTGAGTAAGATTTTAGATTGGGTGGTTTACATCTAAGGGGTAGGTTAGGTATTTGATGGAAAGATATGACTGATTTGGATTTTTTGAGTGTTAGAGTGTAGAATTAAGGAGACGTTGAGACTAAAGATGCAATTGTGGGTTTAACTGTGGATAAGAGTTGAACAAGAGCAAATGTGTTAAAATACTTTTATGTGTTAAAATATTTTAAGAGCTGGTTTGCTATAAGCCTAATATAATTTAACTCATTATGTTTTCTCTATTAAATAGAATATATCTAAATAGCAGATTTTTAAAAAAATATGAAACTTTGAAGATATTTGAAATATATTTTAAATGTTATTTTAAAAAGAATAGCCTTCTTTATGTTTTTTTTTTTCTTCAACTATTTTTTGCCACAGATTTTGGTTCTGATGCTTTTGTTTTTCTGTCAGCTTCTTTAAAGCTCTCAGGATAGAGTTTAAATTGAGGATACATTCAAGGGTACCCTTCAGGGTAGAAACTCGTGCTGCTCTGATTTTTATTTAGCGACAGTTGGAGAGCATTCCGAGAAATGTGTGTATAGATTATGTAACTAGTCACTTAGAGTCCCTGGCCTCCTGTTAACCTGGCCCTGTTGAGAGGCAGTGAGCTGGGAGTGCCCTGGGAACAGCTGGGTCAGACTCAGTACAGTTGCCTAGCAGTCCCTGAGGAGCAGTCATAAGGGCTTGTTGCTGGGCAACCAGGGGGCTCATGGTGGCACATCTTCCCCCATGGAGTTTTACAGGAGTGGTGGGCCTGCCCCCATGGGAGAAGCAATACAGCCTGGCAGGGGGCCAAGCCTCCCTCAGAGGCCCAAGGGTTGTTAGCAGTAAGTATTTGACCTTAGAATCAAAGAAGATAAGTTATGTTCTATGAACACGCAAGTAATTTATAGAATTATTGATGTGAATTTAATTAAACATGATCTTGGGGCAGACCAGGTAGTTTTGGCAGCTAGAATTCTCATTTCAAATTATTTTATTCTGATTTCTTTCTCCTTCAGGCTTCTTGCAAAATAAGTTTTCTAGGTCAATGAGAAATCACTTTTATTTATACTGCATAGAATATGTAACTTTTCCTATTGACGTTATTTAGACAAAGTAAATATTTACATTTGAGGAAAATGAGCAAGGTAATTCTGCTCTGGTCATGTAGGCCTGTATGGCAAAATACTTGATTCAATACCAGTGCAAGAATTTGCTGCTAATATTCGAGATACCTTGAATTTTCTTTAGGTATAGAAAGGTCAGAAAATAACAATTCACTAAGACCTTAACATTTTATTTTAATTATTTAACATAGTGCATAAATTATTCTTTTGGAGAGCTGATAAAATGTTGAAACTTAGGGCCAGCAGGTGGTGTAGTTGTTAAGGTGCTGAACTCCCAACCTGTGGTTCAAGTCTCAGACCTGGCAGCTTGAAAATCATGCTGGGCACGAGTACGTGCATACCCAAAATTCCAGGAGGAGAAAGGGGAAAAAGAGGTTGTGGCATGACCATCACCCCTGGGGGTGATGTCTCATTTTTTCTCTCACTGTCTCTGTCTCTTTATCTCTCTCTGGCAAGTGCACATGCCCTATGGCAAAAAAAAAAATGTTGAAACTTGTCAGCTCTCATAAGAAGCCTGAGTCTGCTTTTAATATTTAATGATGCCCACGTGAAGCAATGACTTCTCCTGGAGGCCCAGGCACATATTATAAAGACTAAGACAACTGAAATATTTTGGAATAACACACAGTGCAATAAAGACTAACATGAGATGTTGAGGCACCTGCACCTGCAAATTTAAGAAAAATTTAACACTGGTCAGCTTGAGAAAAGTGACATAAACTTTTTTTAATCTCCCCCCCTCCCACTACTTTTGTATCCAGCACTTCTGGCCTTGGGTGTAACCTGCTTACTGATCAGAAAAATCAGCAGGCAGGACTGTGTTCTAGATACAAAAGGGAAGCCTCTTTAAGCCTCATTTTTAACACTGGGAGTTGTAAATACTTATAAATGAATACATGTGAATTTTCCATATTTTCCTCTTGGAACTACATGAAGCATGAGTGAGTATGAAACACATTTGTAAGTGGTTTTTTTTTATTTTAAGGTTATGATATTTCTTTTGCTAATACAAACAAGGATATACGAATGTTCTATTCCATAATCCACTCTTTGAATACCTGCAGTATATTGCTCTAATTTCTGGAGATAGATGAATAGAACATGATCATTTGAGATGCTCACAGGATGATGAAAAGGACTGTCCACACAAAGCCATAATATAAAATATCAGAGAGTTGGGAACAAAGCTATTTAGGGGCAGGGATAATGATTACTACCACACTGGAGCAATTCCCAAAATCTTCACACAAGAGTCAGTGCTTGAGCTGGACCTTTAAGTATGGCTGTACTGCGAAGGAGAGTAAAAGGAAATGAGCACTCTAGGCAGATGAAGCAGGATTTTTTTTTTTTTTTTTTAATGTGTCTGGTTTGTGCCACTCTGCCCTACAGGCTAAATCCTAACCAGCACATCTTAACACACGTGCACAAGGTGTCACGCACAGGAAGTACTCAGCAAGCACTTTTTTTTTTTAAATAGATGAATGAATGAAAAAAAACCTTACATATCCTTTTTAATATGGACTGATAACTTTCATATAAAATTATACTTTATTGAGGATTATCTGATTGCACCTATACAGTTCAAAAGAAGAGGTTAGCTTTGTGAACTCAACATTCAGCTCGCCAAATTTTAACATCTGGGGCCTTTATTCCTAGCTCTCCTCTCTTTCCGTACTTAATTTCTGTATTTTCATTGACTTGTTTAAAAGCATGAGTTCAAATATACCACCTTGTGAGTTATTTCCTCATTTTCTTCCCTGGATTTAACCAATTGATTGTATTTAGCATTAATCCAATTTTCTATATTACCTGCCTATTGGAAAAGCTCTTCTTGGCTGAAAGCACTTACTGATAACTGCCTTAATTTGACCTCATCAGCTCCATTTCATCTTCCTTTGCCAATTCTGCCTTTTCTGTATGTGTTTTCATGGACTTTATTGACCATGCCTCCTATCATACATTACTGCTTACCAATTCAGCCTTAACCCTTTCTGCCTGGTCATCAGGGGGGTCTTAACACCTCGCCTTATCTGATTAAGCACGTTTTTTTTGCAATTTACATTGTGTCTTTTCTGTGCCTTTGTGTACATTATGATTATATTCACTTTCCCTCCCTTACTTTTGCCTATCTAGAATCTGTTGCGTATCCAGGGAAATGTTGGGTAGAGGGGAAATCTGACTTTATGAGAGCTCAGTAGCCAGGATGCATCTTCAGAATGAGTCCAAATAAGGCACAGGGCAAATTCTTTATACCCTCCGATGACTCATAACTGCATGTGACATCCTTTTGTCTGAGGGCAATTCCTGGAGAGGATCTCAGCTGAGGGGATGTCACTGACACTGATCAGCTAGGGAAATGAGTGACTCAGTCCAGAAGGGGACATCTGATGGAATACCAGTGTCCATTACACCTGCCTTGTAATACTCTCCCTCTTCCACTGTACCTGAATAATTTCCCTTAGCTGAATTACCCAGATGAGCTGAAGCTATATATTAAGGCTGATATATTCTGTGATGATACATAATGCAATATGCATTGCATTAATAGGAAAAGTATCACAGGAGCCAACTGAAAAAGCCCTTAATGGCCACATTCGGAATGGTTTGAACAACATAATGAAGTACTATTGGATTTTAATCCAAAATATAAAATAAATACTCATGAATTCATGTTATTATGAATAAATGATCAAATATTTAACTGGGCAAGAAGAGATTAATCTCTTACGCAGAAGAATTTTGAATAATTTATGTAGATACTCCTCCCTCAAGGAGGTGAAAAATGATTCCCTACTCCTTAATTGCTACATATAGTGACTTCTTTTTTAAAAAGTACAGTGGGGGCGGTGGCAGGTGGTGTGATGGTTAAGGTGCTAGACTCTCACATGACTGACTGTGGTTTGAGTCTCAGACTTGGTGGCTTGCTTTCTCACCTTTCTCTCTCTTTCTCTTTCTTTCTCTCTGTCTGTGTCTCTCTCTGGTCAAATTAAAATAAATGAATAAATTAAAAACTAAGTGAATAATTATTAATTTTTAAAAAATACAGTGGAGGGTGGGAAGAATGCAGTGTAACTTTACAGTGGAAAATCCTGACAAACACTATCTCATCAAGGTCAACCTCAGTAGCAATGACATGCTGATATTATATATCCTTGATAAAATGTCATAAAAATGTGCTTTACCTCTGTGGCCTTCCCCTCAAAATTTCATAACTCCAGATTAATCATGAGAAAAACATCAGACAAATCCCAATTCAAGGACATTCTCCAAAATACCTGATCAGTACCTCTCAAAGTTGTCAAGGTCATCAAAGACAAGTCTAAGAAACTGTCACAGTAAAAAGACTTGATGGTGAAATATAATATGACATCCTGGATTAGGTTCTGGAATAGACAGAGGACCTTACATAAAAACTAAGAAAATATAAAGTGTGAACTTTAGTTAATAATAAAGTATGAGAGCCAGCTGGTGGCATGGTGGTTAAGGTGGCTGGCTCCCATGTGGTTGACTTTACATTTTGAGTCCTGGACCTGATGACTTGAAAACCACACCAGACATGTGTTCATGCATGCTCAAAATCTTGAAAAAAGAATTGGAGGAGGGAACCAGCAGTTAGCGTAATGGCTATGTCACTGGATTCCCACGTAGTTGACTGCTGTTTGTGTCCCGGACCGGTGGCTTAGAACTCACGCTGGGCGCGTGTGTGTGCGTGCCCAAGATCCCGAGAGGAGAATGGAGGAGAAGGGATTGTGGCGTGACCATCCCCCCTGGGGGTGATTTCTCGCTTTCTGTCTCTATGTCTCTCTCTGTCTGTCTGGCGAGCGCACGTGCCCTATAGCGAAAAACCCCCCCCCCCCCAAAAAAAAGAATTGGAGGAGAAGGGACCAAGGATTGATCTCACTTTGAAGTGATCAAAGTAAGATACTTTCTCACTTTCTGTCTCTGTCTCTGTCTCTCTCTATCTCTTTCTGGGGTATGCATGCACTCTGCAGCAAAATTTAAAAAAATTATAAGTATATAAATATTGGTTCATTAACTTAAGAAATGTATTATATTAATATAATATTTTAATAAGTGGAAACTAGGGGTGGCGTATGTAAGAGTTTTCTATATTCTCTTTTACTTTTTTATGTAAATCTAAAGCTTTCTTTAAGTTTATTTTAAAAAGAGGTACCATTACTGTATGGTCCAGCAATTCCATTTCTGGGTATATATCCAAAAGAACCAAAAGCACAATCTTGAAAAGATATTTGTACGACCATATTTACAGCATCATTATTCACAATAACCAAAATGGGAAGCAACTCAAATGTTCAAAATGGATGACTGGATAAACAAAATGTGGTGTCTACATACAACAGAGAATGATTCAACCTTAAAAAGTAGAGAAATTCTACTCTCCAAAAAAAAAGGGAACCAGCAATTAGTGTAATGGCTATGTCGCTGTACTCCCACATAGTCGACCGTGGTTCGCATCCCGGACCCGGTGGCTTAAAACTCACACCAGGCACATGTGCATGCGTGCCCAAGATCCCGAGAGGAGAATGGAGGAGAAGGGATTGCGGTGTGACCATCCCCCCTGGGGGGTGATTTCTCGCTTTCTGTCTCTATGTCTCTGTCTCTCTCTGTCTGTCTGGCGAGCGCACGCGCCCTATAGTAAAAATCTCTCAAAAAAAAAAAAAAAAGTAGAGAAATTCTGACATATACCGCAACATGGATGACTCCAAGGACATTAGACAAAGGAAATAAACCAGTCACAAAAAAGACAAATATTATATGATTTCTTTATATTAAACATCTAGAGTAGCAAGTTCAAAGAGACAGTAAGTAGAATGGGTTATCAGGGGCTTGGGGGGCGTAATAGAGGTTATTGTTTAATAGGTATAGAATTCCAGTTTTACAGGGCAAAAAGGTTTTGGGAAATGGTTGCATAACCATGAATATACTTAATAATATCGAACTGTATGCTTAAAAATGGTTAACATGGTACATTTTGGGACCAGCTGATGGCATAGTGGTTATGTTGCTGGACTCCCACATAGTTGACCACAGTTTGAGTTCTGGACCCGATAGCTTAAAACTCATACTGGGCCAGTGTGTGTGCATGCCCAAAATCCTGAGAGGAGAAAAGAGGAAAAAGGATTGTGGCGTGGCCATCCCCTTGGGGGGTGATTTCTCGCTTTCTGTCTCTGTCTCTCTCTGTCTTTCTGGCAAGTGTACTCACCCTATAGCAAAAATCTCTCTTAAGAAAAAAAAAAAAGAGGGGGGGCTGGCAGGTAGTGTGGTGATTAGGGGCACTGGGCTCCCACATGGCTGACCATGGTTCAAGTCCCAGACCTGGCAGCTTTCTCTCCCTCTCATTCACTCTGTCCCTCCCTGGTAAAATATAAATAAATAATAAATAAAGTCAAGTAAAATAATTCTTTTAAAAAAAAAAGATGGTAAATTTTTTGTGTATTTTACTACAGTTTTAAAAAAGCACTATTAAAGTTAACATTTTTAATCCATTAATCAAATAAAATTAATACTACATAGATACACTATATCTTTCATTTTTCAGTTTATGATTCTCAATACCCTGTCTGAGATAATAATTACCCAGAGATATAAAGCAACAGAAAGATTACGAGAATAGGGCAATTAATATCCAAAAATATGTGCAACCAGTGGTAGTCAGAAGTCATGTAAAAATTATCTGGAAATTAGCAGAAAAGAAGACTCATGAGAACTGAGGGATTGGAGAGTGAGTGAGACATAGATGGGCAGCATTTTGTGTTTTTTAGCTTGAAATAAAACTTCCTTGAGCTTAGGTAACAGTGCTAACTATATATGAAGTGTTATTTGGGTTGATATCTTTTATTTCTTCTTTAGAAGGAAAACAAACATCCCTATTATATACATTTTACAATTTCTTTCTTTCCTTTTCTTTTTAGAGATTTTTTGCTATAGGGGTTGTAAGTATGCTTACCAGAGAGACAGAGAGAAAGAAAGTGAGAAATCATCCCCTGAGGGGACAGTCACACCGCAATCCCTTCTCCTCTATTCTCCTCTTGGGATTTTGGGCACGTACACACCAACACAGCATGAGTTTCGAGTTGCTAGGTCTGAGACTCAAACTGCAGTCAACACATGGGAGTCCAGCACCTTAATCACTACACTATCTGCTGGTCCCAAAACAGTCTACGTTTTTGCACTTTAAAAAGTCTACAACACAGTGAAAGAGAATAGGGATATGCTTTTTATTTTATGGGAAACTGTTCAGTAATATCTGGAGTTATTAGCGGGCTTTTAAGGAGATGACAGTGATATTTGTGCCACAGAAAACACTTCACTGTTTTGAACCCCCTTTTCCTTCCTTCTTTTCAGATTCAGCATGTCTTTGAAAACCAAATTTTAGCGAATAATTCCACTGATGTTCATTTTTTTTTTTTTTTAGAAACCAGAACAAGTTTTTTAGAACATCACATTCCCAAAAGGAGCTGTAAGACTTAGGAGTGTGTGTGATCACAGGTACCTTTCTAGTGCCCAATCTGAACTTAGTGTTAAATAGAAAAGGCACGTTTTTACTTTATCAGTTTTTTCAGGGAGACTAATAATTGCATATTTGTATTTCATTGTTTGTGATCTTCCTTGAATCCAGAGCAACCTGGAGAGATGGTTAGGATAAACATTCTCAGGGCTCCTTGATGAGTAAGGCTGTGTCATTTACCCACTTTTGAGATGACACCTCAAATTAACATTGATAAATGTATGAGCTGAACTAAGTCCAGTGCTTCTGCTTCTAAATTACAATGCCTTTGGGACTTTCTTTTACTGGCTCACTTGTAAGCTATTAAGAAATGTGAGAAGCAAAGGAGAGAAAGTAATCAAATTATTTGAAACTCAACATAAAAAGGTGGCTATGGTAATACTGTTGACATTTTGGGGACAAAGGTACTTTATTTAAGAATTATGGTGATATATTTATACCACAATAAAGCTTGAGTTTTATACAAATTCAAAGTTCAGCTATTGTACTAGTGTGTGTGGTCTAGGCAGATGGTTTGAAAGGGAATGTCTCAGACCAGAGAGACGAGTGAGAGATGTCATATCTCTGTGAGAACTGATGGGGTGGAGGAAGGTGCGGTGGGGATGCTGGAGCTCGTTGGTGCCTGTGCAATTGGAGTTGGGAGAGTGAGCTGAGGAACATATGGCATTGTGGGCCTGATGTTAAGAGAAATGAAGAGGGGAGATAAAACAGCAGACTGCACTGATTTAAAAATACATGATAGAAAACTGAATTCTCTCCTATTCTGCACAATCCTATTCATGTTAGCCAGCATATACAAGCAGAGGACTATTGACATGATGGGCCTCACAGGAGGAAGAGAAACAGGTGGTCTTCACACAATGAGAGAGACATGGCTCCCTCATTTTTATTTTATTTAATTGATTAATTTATTTTAATTTGCCTAGAGAGGGACAGAGAGAGAAAGAGAGAGAGAAAGCAAGCCGCCAGGTTCAGGACTCAAACTGTGGTCGGCCATGTGGGAGTCCAGTGCCCTTAACCACCATGCCACCTGCTGGCCCCCTCATTTTCATCTAGGCATTTATTAAATGTCTGCTCAGGCACAAGGACTGCTCGAGAAGAAGGGAGCCTGGTTTACCCATCTCTGTCAGAAGTATATATGGAAAGAAAAATAGATTTAAACACTGTATTACTAGTGTTTAAATAGGGAATTTTAATAGATAAATACCTGAAAGAATATGAACAAGAGAACAGCAGATTTTCAGGTTACCTCTTGATTCTGAGACATTAGGTATGGACTAGATTTTATCAGGTTCATACTCTCTCCCCAAACCCAAATGACTGTACCATGTAACTGAGGAAGACAATGGCCTTGCTCCTTAGCATTGATTTCAAAGACAACTTACTGCATGATATGTCACTTTTAAATCATACATTTAAGAAAGTCTATCAGGTATGGTTACTCTGTTTTCAATGGCAATTGAAAAATCTGAATGTACATCTTGCTACCCTATTGACTTTACTATTTAGTAAGAAAGTCTGATTATTCATGTTATACAGTTTAAGAGCAACACATGTGAGATTTCTCAGAATTCAAATGATAGGTTTCAACTGTGAATAAAATAAGAAAAGAGGCACACTCCTCATGTATAAGGGAGTATGCTGCTTGTTACTCAAGAAAGTTTGTCCTACTCCTGCTGTATCAATCAGAGAAGTACAAAAGGAAAAAAAAAATAAGAGTACAGGATGAAAAATAACAATGTTGTTTTAAATTGTGTGGCACTTGGTCATAAATTAGATGTTTTTGCCCAAGGAACCACTTGTTCTTTTCTGTAAGAGACATGGAACTACAAATGCTTATTTTGATCAATTCTTCTATCTCCTTTATTTCCTTCAGGGGTCATGGTATAATAAAAGGGCACTCAATCAAGATCAAGAGAAATCTGGGGGAAGCAGGAAACCAAAAAGTTATTGAGACCACACAGGGGCAGAAAAGATAGAGGTAGGTACACTTTTTGTTCCATTGACTTTGGTATTGCAGCTGTCTCTGGAAATCTTTGTTGTTATAAAGTCAGAGGACAGTGAAACAGACGGTTGGAATGAGAAAGTGGCTTAATATTGGGAAATTTTTTAATAAAACAAATGAATGTAGTTGTGTTAGAACATGATAGAATCTATTGTTAATGTCAAATTAATAGCGAATAATACATACTGAAAATTTGAGAGACTCATTCCTTACTGCATCTGCCAGAGAATCATGATTAGTAGAGACTGAGCTTGATTTGATACTTCTATTCTTAGCTGTGCCTATTTAAATTGTTCTCAGTGGATTCAGCTCACCCATCAAAGTAATGTTATCAAATGTATAACCTGGGGCTGGCTTTGTGGCCTAATGGAGGGTAGCTGGATTTGGGGACCAGCAGTTAGCATAATGGCTATGTCGCTGGACTCCCATGTAGTCAACTGTGGTTCATGTCCCAGACCCAGTGGCTTAAACTTATGCTGGGCACATGTGTGTGCGCATGCTCAAGATCCTGAGAGGAGATTGGAGGAGAATGGATTGCGGCGTGGCCATCTGGGGGCGGGGGGTGATTTCTCGCTTTCTGTCTCTCTGTCCGTATTTCTGACAAGCGCAAGCACCCTATAGCAAAAGCCACTCCAAAGGAAAAAAAAAAAGAAAGAAAAAAAAAGTAGCTGGATTTCACATGGCCGACTGCGTAATTTGAGTCCTGGACCCTGTGCTTGAGAAACACACCAGCATGTGCGTGCTCAAAATTCCAAAAGGAGGGATATTGGAGGAGAATTGGAGGACCATGCCCCATAGGGGTTACTTTCTCCTCCCCCTGCATAAAATGCCTTAAAACAGAAGGGAAATTATTATTATCTAGTGGGTCTTCTAAACTAACTACTCTCTTTATGTACCGTTCTCGGAGATTGTAGTAGTAGACTTACAATTAGTGCATACAAATAAATATTCTTGATGATACTGGTAGACATAAACCTCAAATTAACACTTTTTTTGAGAAACATAGGTTGTGTGTGACATGAGGGGATGGTCTTTAAAAAGTTACTGGAGGGGTCAGCAGGTGGTGTGGTGGTTAAAGTGTTGGACTCCCACATGGCCGATAGCAATTTGAGTACTGGACTTGGTGACTTGCTTTCTCCCTTTCCTGCTCTCTCTTTCTCTGGTGAATTAAAAAATAATAAAATAAAAAAAATAATTCTTTTTAAAAAATTCTTGAAAAGTGTGTATAATGAAAAAACTAAGCATGGATTTAAAAATTTTTGTACCTAAAATGAACTCTTTAATTCTATTTTCCACAAACTTTTTGAAATTCCCTAGCATATATTTTAAGGATACCCATTTAAAGACATCCTACACAAATTGCATGTCCTAAGGAAACAGAGGCTATGTCCATGCTTTCGTCTTCTTACTATTTCCCCAAATTCCTACCAGAGTGGTAAAATTTGCATTTGAGGCCAGTCCAGTCCCACAGTGCTGTGTTCTCCCATCCAGGGTGAGAGCCCTGCTCCTCCACCACAATTTGGACGATGGATCAGGAGGACACAGGGTCAGTCTCGGCCTGTGTGAAGACGTTAGTGTTTTCCTCCTAATCTCAGATTCTTATGAGAACAAAGCTCCAAGGGAACAGGAAAGAGTAGGAGATATTACATGTGGTTTCTGCTCATTACCTGTTGCTTTCAAAACCAGAATGCAACTTTCTTATCATTTTATTTAGACATTAGCAATGGGTTAATTTCCATGTCTCATCAGAACATTTTACTTTAACTTTAATGTCAAATTTTAAACAGCGTCAACATGTTTAAGGATAAATTTAAGAATTGCTTATCTTAATTGAAATCTGCTGTTAATATGAAGTACTTTCAAATAAATAATTTTATCAAAAGCCTACGTCATGTCAGCCTGTGGTCTAGTGGTTAGGGTGACTGGATCCCACATGGTTGATTGATTGTATGGTCTCCAAAGAAGGGAGAGATGGAGGGGAAGGGATAGTGGTGTGACCAAGCCCCATGGGGTGGAGGGTGCTTTCTCACCTTCTCTCTCTGTCTTTGGTGAACAGATGTGCCCTCTAGTAGATTTTTTAAAAAAAGCAAATTTTTTTTTACATAAACAACTAAAACCTCCATAGTAGGAAAAAGTAAGTAATATTGTAGATATTAATTTTGTATTTAGGGAAAATGAAAACAAACATAAAATAATTTACTGGATCTATAATGCGGGCTGTGTTTATAATGATTTATGAACATAATCTTATTTCATTCTCTGATAATTCATAAAGAAAGCATTGGTTATTCATTGAGAGAAAAGTGTACCTTGGCAAGAACACACTTAACTCATAGGTAGTGAGGTTAGGAATTGCGCCTAATTCTGTCTGATGCATAAATTTATGTTTTTGACCAGCTTGGATAGGAAAGCTTGGCAGGGACTAAAATATTATCTGCTTAAATGAGTAAAGTATCTTCTTTTCATCAGGTATCTAGAAGCAATTTTTGAAAATATATGCTTTTCTTATCTGGAGAGATTTTTTTTTTTTCGCTGTAGGGCGCGTGCGCTTGCCAGACAGACAGAGAGAGATACAGAGAGACAGAAAGTGAGAAATCACCCCACAGGGGGGATGGCCATGCCACAATCCCTTCTTCTCCATTCTCCTCTCTGGATCTTGGGCACGCATACACATGCGCCCGGCGTGAGTTTGAAGCCACCGGGTCTGGGACGCGAACCGCGGTCGACTACATGGGAGTCCAGATATGACATAGCCATTACGTTAACTGCTGGTTTCAAAAATATATGCTTTTAAGGAATGCATTATTCTATCTTCTATGAACTTGATAAAAAGAAAACATTTTTCTGATTTATTTAATTAAAAGAGAGAATACTAAAAAAAGCACAAAAATGAAAATCCCCCAAAATTCATTGAAATACTAGTTAAAGGAACACACAAATGAATAAAATAGAATACAACAAATTGGGTTTATTCTAGGAATGTGAAATTGCTTCATATTGGGAAATTTATTAACAGTTTCATAATCACATACCAAAGAATAAAACACCTATATATGCATGTCTTTACTTAGTAGTGTGTGAGTGCACACACTCTATAGCAAAAATATCTCTCTCAAAAAAAAAATGGTATTGAGCAAAATACAATTATTTCTTTTTGTAAGAAAATGCATACATATAGTTTTGTAATTTAGAAATAGAAAGATACCGTTAGAATGTAAAAAGGTAATTTCGAGAAAACAAAAACATCCAGACGTTTATTATGTGTTTTTTTTTATCAGATAATTAACATCATTATATAATTTGTAACCACTGCAATCAATTTTGAAAAGCCAAATATTGCTATGGTTTGAATGTGTCTCCCTAAAATTCATGTGTTGAGATTTGCTCATGGGGGGATTATGAGGTTAAGAACTTAATTGGACTATGGTCTTGAAAGATGGAGCCTTTGGTAGGTGATTGGGATTAAGATCATTGGGGTGGAGCCCCCAGGATTGAATTCTGGTGAGTGTCCAAGGAGAGAGAATGAGACAGAAACACATGGACATGAACTTACCTGCTGTCTTACCATGATAACCCTCTGCCATGTTACCCACCAACAAGAAGACTCTCACCAGATATAGTTCCTTTTGCAGTCCCTTTACTTGGTCCTCCAAAATCATGAGTTAAATAAACCTTTTTCTTTTCTTTTTTCCTTTTCTTTTCTTTTCCTTTCTTTCTTTTTTGTTTCTTAGCTATTTAAGTTTATATTCATCTCCGTAGCATTTATTTGCACTGGAATGAACATATAATTTGTATTCATATACATGACTTTATTGAAACAAAAAACATTTGCATCAATCAATTTTTCAGCAAATTTTAATCTACATTGTGCTATCCTACTATTCTTTCAGCTCTCAAACATTTACCAGTAAGTTTGTAAAGCCAAAAACACTTGCACATGAAAGTTTATTAATTTATTTCTTCATGAACAAGAGAGAGATTACTCGACCTCAGGTATTCATTATTAAGCAAAAGAGAAGAGAAGAGAAAAAGTATTTTCTGAGTTTTTGTTATATGCTAAGAACTGTTTTAAATGTTTTACAAACCTTAACTCATTTAATTCTCACAAAGTCCTGGGACACATGGATTTCTGTCACTCTCAATTTACATATTGGAAAGCTGAGGCCCAGAGAAGTTAAGTAATTTGGCCAAAGTCAAAAAGCTAATAAATACTATGTTAAATACCATGTTATGTTGCCTTTTTTTTTTGAAGAGGTTTTTTGCTATAGGGCGCGTGTGCTCGCCAGACAGAGACAGAGAGATAGAAAGAGAGAAATCACCCCCCAGGGGCGATGGCCATGCCACAATCCCTTCTCCTCCATTCTTCTCTTGGGATCTTGGGCACACACGCACATGTGCCCGGCGTGAGTTTAAACCACCAGGTCCGGGACTCGAACCACGGTCAACTACGTGGGAGTCCAGCGACATAGCCATTACGCTAACTGCTGGTCCCCATGTTGCCTTTTGAAACTTATAATTATTAGAAAAAAGTGATCTTTTCCCTTTAAAAATTATATATATATTTTTACTAAAATTCCCAAGAGAATTGACTAAAGATTCATTAGAATAAGAGGCTTTAGTTAAAGCGCCAGCAAATGGCATAGCGGTCACGATGCTGGACTCCAATGTGGCTGACCACGGTTTGAGTCCTTGACATGGTGGCTTGAAAGTCATGCTCTGGAAAAGAATGGGTTGCAGCATGGCCATCCCTCCTGGGGGGTGATTTACTTTCCCTCTCACTGTCTCTCTCTCTCTCTCTCTAGTGGGTGCACGTGCTCTAAGGCAAAACCTTCTTTAAGAAGATGCTTTAGTTAAGTGGCCATACGAAAGGTGAAAAATATGTAAATCAGTCATTTTTTCCCATAGTAGCAATAAATAGAACACATGATGAAAAAAATTTCATTTATCATAGCAATGAATTGTGAAAGACTTAAATG